TTTTTCAAGACAGGGTTTCTCTGTGGCTTTGGAGCCTGTCCTGACACTCGCTCTGGAGACCAGGCTGGTCTTGAACTCACAGAGATCTGCCTGCCTCTGCCTCCTGACTGATGTGAGCCACCAACGCCCGGCTTTCCTTTCTTTCTTTCTTTCTTTCTTTTTTTCTTTCTTTCTTTCTAAGATTTTATTTATTATGTACACACCATTCTGCTTCCATGTACATCTGCACACCAGAAGAGGGCACCAGATCTCATAACGGATGGTTGTGAGTCACCATGTGGTTGCTGGGAATTGAACTCAGGACCTCTGGAAGAGCAGCCAGTGCTCTTAACCTCTGAGCCATCTCTCCAGCTCCCTGGCCACCCTTTCCTTGTCTCTGTTGGCACCAGTCATGCACATGGTACACAGACATATATGCTCACAATATAACCATATACATAAAATAAATAAAATTTAAAATGTTAACAAAAGTTAACTCACAGAGATCTGACTGCCCCTGTCTCCTAAATGCTGGGATTAAAGGTATTCGTCATCACCTTCTAGCTAACAAAAGTCTGTTTTATAACAGGGAAATGGAGGTTTTTTTTTTGTGTGTGTGTGTGGTTTTTCGAGACAGGGTTTCTCAGTATTGCTTTAGAGCCTGTCCTGGAACTCTGTAGATCAGGCTGGCTCCGAACTCAGAGTTCACCTGCCTCTGTCTCCCCAGTGCTGGGATTAAAGGTGTATGCCACCAATGCCCAGCTAAATGTTTTTTCTTTTTAATTATTTATTTTTAATTTGCATTGGTGTTTTGTTTTGCCTGTGGAAAGGCACTGGGTTGTAGTTACAGTTGTCAGCTGCCATGTGGGTGCTGGGAATTGAACCTGGGTCCTCTGTAAGAGTAGTCAGTGCTCTTAACTGCTGAGCCATCTCTCCAGTCCTCTGGAAATGGCGCTTTGAAGGAACTAAGTAAGTAGTTAGGCAATTTTAGCATGTATGAAGACAAGGCAAAAAAAAAAAAATCACTAAGATAGGTGTATTGGCAAATGCCTATAATCCCAGAATTTGGGAGGCTGAGACAGGATAAAGGCAAGCTCCAGGTCAGCTGGTGTCACAGACTGTGCCTCAGACAAAATAAGTCAAAGTAACAACAAAAGGGAGGCAGAGGCATAAGGACTGTTAAGAGTTCCAGGCTATGGGGGCTGGAGCGATGGCTCAGAGGTTAAGAGCACTGACTGCTCTTCCAGAGGTCCTGAGTTCATGGTGGCTCACAACCATCTATAATGCGATCTGGTGTCTTCTTCTGACATTCAGGCAGAACACTGTATAGATAATAAATAAACCTTAAAAAAAAAAAAAGAGTTCCAGGCTAGCCAGAGCTATACAAGACTGTCTCAAACAAACCAACCCAAAGATAGGAGCTGGAGAGATGGCTCAGCCGTTTAGGAGCCGTTTAGCACATACAGTTTTGGTGGAAGACCTGAGTTCAAGTTCCATGCCCACACTTACATGTGGGTTACAACTGTTTTTAACTCCAGTTTCAGAGGGTCCAACATTCTCAAGTACCTGGACTCATTCACACATGTAGTGCACACACACACACACACACACACACACACACACACACACACACACACACAAACACACCCCCCAAAAAACAAAACAAAAGACAAAAAAATAAATGAAAGATAATTTGAGCTTGGTGGTGGTGCAAGCCTTTAATCCTAGCATTTGGGAGGCAGAGGCAGGTCAAGTCAGTGTCAGAAATGAGGAGTAAAAACCTGGTGTAGATGAAGGAGTTGACTTGTCTTCCAAAGGCAAAATGACCCATCATGCTGTTTGGGGACAGAGGCCTGTGGTAGAGACAAATGTGTACATTTGTCTCTGGGGCTGGGGCTGGGGAAGGACTCAGAAAGCAATGCTCAACCTAAAAAAAAAAATAGTTTTGCTGGGTGTGGTGGTGCACACCTTTAATCCCAGCACTTAGGAGGCAGAGGCAGGCGAATCTCTGTGAGCTCAAGGGCAGCCTGGTCTACAGAGAAACTTCCTGGACAGCCAGGGGTTATACAGAGAAACCCTGTCTCCAACAAAATTTCCTTTTCATTTTATGAGCCTGGGTGCCTTGTCTGAATGTATGTTATCAGATCCCCTGGGAGCTGGATGGTTGTGAACTGCCATATAGACGAAAGGAACTGAACCAGGGTCCTCTGGAAGAGCAGCAAGTGTTTAGCTAGCTCAGTGGCCTCTCCTATTTTGACTTTGCAGTTTTTTTTTTTTTTTTTAAGATTTATTATGTATACAACATTCTGCCTTCATGTCTATCTGCACACCAGAAGAAGGCACCAGATCTCATAACGATGGCTGTGAGCCACCATGTGGTTGCTGGGAATTGAACTCAGGACCTCTGGAAGAGCAGTCAGTGCTCTTAACCCCTGAGCCATCTCTCCAGCCCAACTTTGTAGTTTTCTTTAGTGTCTTTATTCCCTGATGTTTGGTTCTGTGCAGGGTATGGGCCTCTCCTGTGGCAGGCAAGGTTTCAGCTACTGAGTTACAACTGATGTTCCTTGCATAAGAGCTTTGTCTTTAATTACTTTTAAAATTATTTTATTCGTGTTTCAATTGCATGTACGTCTGTGGGAAGTGTCACCCAGACAGTGGTGAGCTGCCATATGGGTACTCTGGAAGAGCAGCCAGTGTTCCTAACTGCTGAGCTATCTCTCTAACCCCATTTTTTTTTTTTTGGGGGGGGGAGTGGTGGCTGGAGACAGGGTAGCCCTGACTGTGCTGGAATTCACTCTTTAAATCATTCTGAGATTCATCTGCCTTTCCAGTGCTGGGATCAAAAGCATGTGCCTCCACTGCCTGGCTCGGCTATTATTTTTGTGTGCAGGTGTGCCTTGCACGTGAATATAGGTGCCCCTGAGGCTAAAGGCCATTGGTGTCCCTGGAGCTGTAGCTGTAGTTGCGAGCCACTTGACATGGATGCTAGAAACTGAACAAGTGTTCTTAACCCCAGAGGCACCCTCGACGTCATGGGTTTGGAGAGTATTTGCAAGGCTGCTTTGAATACCGTTTTGCATGCCCGAAATACCTCATAGTTTAAAAATAGGTCAAGTGGCCAGATCTAGTAGTACATGATTGTAATCCCGGCACTGGAGGTGGAGGCAGGATGTCATGAGTTACAGGTCATTTTTAGGCTTGGGCTACAAAACAAGAGTAACAACTATTACCTAGGCTTCAAGAACCAGAGATCCTTTGGCTTGCCCGAGTTCAGCTGACTGGTCTTCTGAGCTGGTTTCTCCTGTTATGCAGGAACTGAGTTTGGCACTAAGAGTATCAGCAGGGTGGGACACACACCTTTACTGCCAGCACTCAGGAGGCAGAGGCAGGCAGATCTGAGTTTCAGGCCAGTGTCCAAGGCTAGAGCATCCCTCTCGAGCCTGGCAGTGATGGCGCCCTCGAAAAACCAAAATTCACTCAGTGCTCCCTGAAGAGGCTTAAGGAATCCTCCCCACTATTGTAAGGGTGCCTGCTTTTAGAGGACAGCGGGCTTTCAGCCCTCCAGAGTAAGCTAGAACTCAAGCTTTTCAGCAGTGGCTAGCGGCTGCCCTCTAGTGGCTGAAGCAGGGCTTCAGCTAGGAGGCTCACTTGAGCCGGATAGCTCAAGTCAACGGAGCCTGAGATGGACTTTATGGGCTAACACAGGCCACATCTCTCAGCCTGGAGCAACTAGTTTCCAGTGACTTCCCCTGATTTTCAAACGCTGCAAGATACCCATCTGAAGAGGTTTGCCGGGCCACCAGGAGGGGAGGGATTCATTTCTCCTCAAGGACTGTTTTATTCATCAGCCACTTCTGGTAATGGCTTTTTTATTTTTGGAGAACTTGCTCCCTAGACCAAAGTGGCCTGAGATCCACCAGTCTTTGATGGGATTAACAAGGTGTGCGCCACTACTGCTCAGCCTCTAGTAAGGGGCTTTTACCAAGGGTTCCGCAGCAAAGCCAGTTTCATCTGGGGGACATGGAATTTCAAATTCTAAGCCCTCGTCGGGCGGTGGTGGCGCCTTAAATCCCAATCACTCTGCACTCGGGAGGCAGACGGACCTCTGTGAGTTCGAGACCAGCCTGGCCCACAAGAGCTAGTTCCAGGACAGCCTCCAAAGCCACAGAAAAACCCTGACTCAAAACAGAAAGAAAGAAAGAAAAAAAAAAAAAAAAAAAAAAAAAAAAAAAAAAAAAAAAAAAAAAAAAAAAAAACAAAAAAAATCCAGGGCCTCAAGGTAGCCCTGACTACCTAGCACCTGGGAGACTGCTAGGATCAACTGTGTCTGGATAGCCCAGCATACTCAAACGTAAGTCCACTCAACCACCACACGGGGGCACTGCACACAAAGGCACCATGACACCTAGCTTTCATCTTTAGCAGGGGATGGCTGGAGACTCCCCAACTATACTGCCTTCTCTGTAGACCAGGCTGGCCTTGAGCTCAGAGACTTGCCTCTGCCTCCCAAGTGCTGGGATGAAAGGAGCGTGCCACTACTGCCTTCTCAAAACCCAGAATTTCCCCTTCCTGGGAATTCTATCAGACAGGCTATGTGCCTGGTACACCTGCGGCCCAGCCCTACCATTGGCCAACACTGTAGCTCTAAAAACAAAACGAACAGAAAGAAAGCAGACACAGACCAGGATTATGAATGAGGCAATTTATTAACCCAGCATCCTTTGTTCTAATGCTTCTTGTTGGCAGCTGCCACCTGTGGAAGACAGAAGCCATCAGTGCGGGTCTCAAGTCACTGTGTGCCAGGCCCTCTACTAAGATCCCAAGTTCAAAGCTCAAGTCTTCTAAGACCCTTAAAAGGTGGAGTCTGTAGCAGAGAAAACTAGGCCAACCTCAGGGCTCCTGTTTATACCTCTGCTTTTCAGGGTGAGATCACTTGACCCAAAAAGGTAGCAGGAATGAAATCACTCCAGTGTCTGGGCCTGAACCAGCCTACCACCCCATTTCCACCTCCCCCTAAGTGCCCACACCTGGTGTCCAGGGGGGACGAGAGCTAAAGTGGTCTGTAGCACGCAGGTCTAA